GCACTGAGTTGTTCTCCTCTTATTACAAAAATAAAAGCATTAGTAATATATAACTGACCCAAGGTGACACAATTAAAATGCGTTCTCTTTATTTTCTTCTTGTTTCTCTTTGCAGAACTGAAGACTATATGAAGTTATCCCTAGACTCTTCCTAAGACTTACCTTTTGGCATTTTTAAAGGCTTGAGGAGAAAAAAAAAGGGCAAAACCCCAAACACAACCGAAAAATATCCCTCAAAATATAAGACTTTCTGTTTGGCTGAAGCTGAGTTCCTCAGAATCAATCCTTGTAATATCAAGATTGGAACAAGTTGGGGTCTGGTCTGGATAATTATATGGCTAGAGAAAATAACAGACTACACTGTGCGGGTTCTGTTCTTGGATGTAAAGTAAGATCTCTGGGGGAATAAACAAGCACACTTTGTTGTGTTCAGTACTCCATATCTGCAGCCTCCCCCCAAACAAAACAAAAAAAAATTAACTAGATAACCTGGAGAAAACTGATAAATTATTGTACAATGGACCTGTTTCCTGTCTAGATGGTAGAACAAGCTAGAACAAGCCCTTTTCACCACTCTATCCTAGACCACAAAAACCTTCTAGATGAATTTGAAGACAGAGCTGTAATACATGAAACCTTCTGAAGGCTCCTTCCATCCACAGATGGAAGGTTGGTTGCATGATACAGACTGTGACCTCTTGGAAATGAGACAGTATTTCATCTTAGATAGAAGGAAGTCCTAAGAAACAAAAGATTTATCCTTTTATTTAGAAGTTTGTCCCATTAGTGGGGTGTACTCCTAAATAAGAGTATAGGATTGCAGTCTTAGTATAACAATTTGTGACTAATTTTAATTGCAAGGATTAAGAGCGCTTCATTAGCTAATGCTTTTGTTTACTTGACACTTCAAGCCTGTTCCCAAGAATAGAATCTGAAAATGTGAGCTATGGAATGTAAAATGGCCCTTTGGTTACCAATTTCACAGTTCCTAAATAAGATTTAAGATATATCCTTTTATGTTGTGTCACTATTCTGTCATCGCATCATTTTTTTATGTTACTGATAATCACTTCCTGTTTGATAGATTGGATTTTTTAAAAAAATGTTGCTCTCCTGTATTTTGAGGGAAAGCTTCATAATCCATCCCCTGTTACTTTTTGAAACAAAACCTTAATTATTTGGAAATACTTGAAATTAATTACTCAATCATTCTTTGGGACACATAGGTTTAAGAACTGTTTTCCTCTAGAATCTAGACTAATTCCCTGCCCCCCAGGCTTATTTAAGAAACAGCAGGAATCTTTGACCATAATTAATTTGCAAAAGATAAGCTTCCATTCCTATACCTATTTTCTCTAATATAGTACAGTTTGCAACCAAATCCCATTCATATAAGGACACTCCGCTTTGAGATATTTGTTAGCAACCACTTTGCCTCCAATTCACATTGATAGACTCAAAACACCATTAACTATGCAAATAATGCCTTATATACAATATAATCTTTCAGTATGCAGCAATACATATATAAGGAAAATGACTAGTGGCAATGAGCAAAGCTATCTCTTCAGTAATGACATATTGCTGTCTGAGTGGGTTTTTTGTTTTGTTTTTTGTTTTTCTAAATATGAAGGTAGATCTTGTACAAAGGACTATAATTTCTAGCAGTTTCAAAATGTATATTGCCATTTTTCAGACCAATAAACATTTAAATAGTTTTCCTGACTGGTCATTGTGTTTGTAAATATGAACAGTATGCACACAGCTCTTGCTTCCAATAAATTCAGATTTGAATGGGAACTTGGGAAAGTTATGATTGATTGCCTTTAGAAAACAAAACCATAGTTTAAATTACTATAAGAATGTCCTTCACAGTGCCCAGACTTGAATATTACTGAAAATCTATAAAGAGATCCCAATCATGCATAGCATGCAAAGAAACCCATGAGCTAGAAATATTCTACAAGGAAAAGCAAGGAAAATTTCAAAAGCAAGAATAGAAAGACTCTTTCTAGGTGGTTACAAGAAATGGTTGGAAGTGGTTATTTTTTCTAAAGGACATGTTAAAAATACTGATTTGAAACGTATCCACACATGTTTTACACCTGCAATATTCACCATTGTTTTATTTTGAATCTTATTAACAGTACACATAAATAGTAAGTACGCATTCAAATTTGCAGAGAAAAATTAATTTTGTACTAGGCAAAGGTTCTGTTAACTTAGGGATTTAATTGAAACACACTTTGAACAAGAGTGCTAAACTTTTGCACACAACTGTAAAGATGTAAAACCAATTACTGTCCTAACTAAGAATGTCTGCATACAAGTAAACTTGCTAACCATTTTTCACAGCTGGTAATGATTTTGATCCAAGCTTGTTGTAAATCCATGTCTTTTTAGAAGTGCAATAAAAGGAAGAGGGTTCCCCCCAATGTCAGTTCCTAAACCTTTGGCCTAATATACATATCAATGGCGAATACTTTTTCTACACAGTTTGCCTGTATGTATAGCAGGCCTATAATTTGTACCATTGTAATTACTAAAGAAGACATCAAGGGGAAAAATTGCCTACATATCTGGGCAACTGGATTGATGCTGTACACTGTGTTAAAAATCAACACGCCACATTATGACTTGGCATGATTTTTTTGAGGTTTTTTTCCACCCCTTTCTTGGTGGACTGACAGGTGTGGTGCTATAGGCACATAGGCATTTAGATTTTTTTAAAAAGTCCTAGGAGCTTCTGCAACTTGACGCCTCTGCTTTTTAAGAGCTTGAAAGGGAGCAGTGTCCATCTAAAAATTAGCCCAAACATCCGAGAGAGACTTTAGAAACTTTAAAAATGCCCTCTTAGTTATATGGAGTTCTGGCAGATGATGGCAGAAGCAGAATAAGAGACAGATCTATGCATCCTACAAGCATTAGTGAATGCAAAAAAGGGCTCAGGCCACAGCCTCTTCAAGAATTATGGCAGCATTAGCAGCAAACCTGCCATACTTATACTCAGCAGATAGCACAGAAGCAAGGAAACTTTGGGAAAATGGAGGAAGCTGAGAATCCCCCTGTTAAACTAAGATAAGGGAAATACTTCCTAAAAAATGTTTCATTTAATGTTCAAACACCACAGGCAGTCCTTAACCTACAACCATTCATTCAGTACCTGTTTGAAGTTACAGAGCACTGAAAAAGTGACTTACACAACCAGTCCCCAAAGTTATGGCTGTTTTGCAGCACTTCACAGTCAGACGATCCAAATTGGACTTGGCAGCCTGCCCACACTTACAGCCTCAAGGGTGCTTCACCTTCCCCCTACCCATCTAGTTCTTTTCATGGGTGGCAGCTGTGTAGCTGAGGCAATTTCTGGGATGCTTTGGCGTTGTGCCATGCTGTTAACACTTTGTGTGGTGCAGCAGAATGGAGGGTGGGGTGGGCTCAGAATGCAGAGGGGCAAAAGCAACTGTGGCAGGGGTTGGGGACTATCTGGGGCACAGTAGCTTTGCCCCATGCTGTTGATACTTCCTGGAATTCTGTGGCTTTGCGCCATGCTGTTGGCACTTTACATAGCATAATGGTTTTGTATAGCACTACTGGGTTGGGGCAGCTGAGGCTTCCAGGGGTGGCTGCGGCTTTGCGCTGTGGCTCAGGGGCTTCTTGCAGTCCCAGAGTCTCTGTGTACCAAGAAGGCCCCGAGCCACAGCATAGTCCTTCCCTAGCCTCCCTGTGCTTGCACATATGTGTTCACACATCCCATACCTTCTTTCCCCAACACCCCTGAACTCACGCATGGCTTGCCTATGCCAGGCCTCCTTCATTCCTTTGTACTACCCCCATGCTCCTTATGCAGGGGTCCCCAACCGCCGGTCCGCGGACCGGTACCGGGCCGCGGAACAAGCCTTACCGGGCCGCTGGTTGCTGGGCGCCGCCATCTTTTTTTTGGTAAAAAAGCGCTTCTGGTGAGCTTTTCCGGGTAGAAAGCTCACCGGAAGCGCCTTTTCGTCATAAAAAGATGGCGGCGCCCAGTTGACGCCGGTACCGGGCCGCGGCGCCCAGCTGATGTCGGAACCGGGCCGCGGCGTCGAAAAGGTTGGGGATCCCTGTCCTTATGGACCCGTCTGCTTCGCACTTAACAACCCATACATCTGGAGTTATGACAGCAACCAGGATTGCTGGTATTGCAATTGCATCATGAGACTTTATGCTTTACGACTCCATAACTTAGTGATGGAAATTCTGATCTCAGTTGTGGTGATGTTGAGGGCTACCTGTTAGAAGAAGATGGATTGAGACACCAGTCTCTTAAGAGGGTAGGTAAGATAATCAATCCAGACTGAGATCCATCTAATGTCATACTCCAGCCCATTCACTGAATGACAGTACTGTACAAGCATCCTCATTTGCCCCTAGTTGTGTCCACATTTCAACTGATTAGTTGGTGGATCTCCTTATTCATAGTATCAGAAAATAGTGATGATGTGGCTGTACAATGATAGTACATTTGTAAAGTGTACTGGATTTCTTAGCTATCGCTTGTTCTTAAAAATGATCCTTACAACATGTGCTGTAATTTAAATGGGTGAACAATAAGAGACTGTTCACCCATTTAAATTATTTAATTTGTAGGTGAATAATCTTAGTGCCTTGTGTAATTTGTTCACAACCCGTAATATACATTGGAATTCATGATATCAGGGAATTCATTCAAGGGATAGCTTGCTAAAAGTGAAAATGTGAAGTATTCTGGGGTCATCCCACATAAAAAAGCATCTTGACAGGGGAGATTCAAAACCAAGATTCCCAGCATTTCAGGTCAAATGTGTGCAGTCTTTTATTCTTAGGGTTAAAAAAAAGCTTTTATTCACACATCTCCATCATGCTTTTTTTTTTAATTTCAGACAGGAAACATCCCATATTGCAAGCTATCTTGTCAAACTCCACTGTTTTTCTCAAAACAAAAGTATCCCCATTTTTTTTCTTTTTTGTTGTTCTCTTCTTGGCAGGGTTCAGAGAGAGCAGCTGGCTGCCATCTTCACCCTTCTAAAGGAAAAATCAGACACTTTTGGAGATATGTCTGAATCTGATATCAAAGAACAACTTAAGCTTTATGACATGTAGACTGTAAGTTTTTCTTTTTTTCAGTATACTAAAGGTGTACTGTAAACGCTGTAGTTTTCAACATGGTTAGAATATATTGTATATGAAAATGCAATGAATAGTTTTTGTATTGTATTTTATCTTTTAAAAATGATTTTTGAGAAAGAATAAAAGTCATTTAGTTGTGTCAAATCAATATTTAAGGCGCTAAAATATACCAAATGCTGTTGTAATTTCTTACAATGATCTTATACTGTTTTTGAATGCAAATATTCCATTGCTACATGCAGATATGTTACAGGCAGTGAATGATATTAGACAAGCTGTCTTTGAACTTATCTGTAACACAATGGAGACACTTTCAAAAAGAACTTTCTTGATAAATGTAAGTAACCAGTGAGTCTGATAAATGGAGCTAATCAATCAGAAACACTACTATAAATCTAAAAACAAGTAAATAGCATCTGTCACTTTATACTAAACTTTGTTTTCAAAGAAACTTGTGTTTTAGATTAACTCTGTAAATATTTAAGATAAAAAGTGTCAAACTGTAGACACTTGTATAAATTTTTGATTAAATGTTTTGATAGGAACTATGGATAATAAAAGTGTGGATTGTTAGATTTCTGATTACTGCATCCACAGTGTTTTAAAGCAACATTACAGGAGTGGCATTGCCTTAGTGTAGATGGGTTTTTTTAAGCTTCTTAGCCACAAAAGGCCCTTTACTGATTCTGTTACTGACTTGAATTAAAGTAGGCTGTAATTCACAAAAGCTCAGGTCCTTTTATAAAATCTGTTATTCTGAAAAGGTGCTACCAGGCTCCTTCTCATTTTGGGCAATTAAAGTAAAATCCAGGGCCAAATCTACTTGAAAGCCAGTTTGGTGTAGTGGTTAAAGGCATCATAAGTTCTAGTCCCTCCTTAGGTGTAAAATCAACCCAGGGGATCTTGTTACTGTTTCTCAGTCCTAGGAAGGAGCAAGGCAAACTACTTCTTAAAAACGTGCCAGGAAAACTGCAGAGTTAGTCCAGGAAGTCACTAGAAGTCAACCCGAACTGGAAGGCACTCCCTCGCCCCACAAATCTACTTAACATCCATGGTCAGCAAAATTGATTTGGTGCTGCCATCTGCTGAGGTAGAACAACAGATACCTACAAATACCTAGAGCAAATTCATTTATATTTTATTTTTTAAGAGATAATTTAGAGACTGGTTTTTGTAATAGATGGATGGACCCAGAGGAATTGTGGTTGGGATTCATGTGGAATTTAGTCCTAATAAAGAGTCCAAAATGACTTTGTTATTAGGATGTGAACAGGAACTCTGGCTATGCAGTTTCAAGGTTGCAGTGGAGATGCAAGTTGTACCACAAAATGGCTGTTATTGATAATGGAATAACCCCTCTAGAAGATTCCTCTGGAAATTCCACAATTATGATAGATTGTCAAAAGTAACATTTTGATTGATTTATTACTTCCTTAGAAATGTGTAAATGATCAAATGTAGATTAGCCAGTGCTATGGCACCATTTGAAATGCTTTGTATGAAATTTACTATATAAGTTTGCTTGTATGTAGTATATTCAGGGACTTTCACCTGGGAACCTTACCTAATAAGTCTCTGTTTGTCTAAGACTGTGCAGATTCTTAATAAAGTTTGGGAGATTTTGAGCTGTATCCTGGCAGCAGAAGAATACACTGAAACCTCATCACCCAGGTGGCAGAGAAGACATAGGAGGCCTACGGGTTTCTCTGGGAGTATTTCTCCAACAATTTATACTATAATGGAGAGTGGGTATGCTGGTTAGTTTGGTTATTTTAATTATTTCTGGGACTTTTTATTTTCTTAAATAAAAGAATTCATGTTCCACATACTTCAGGACTAGTAGCAAAATGTATATGTGCTCAACTAATCAGCTACTTGAAAGCTTGGTATTTGTGTTTATGCTGTTTGAGGTAAGAAAAGAGAAACTGAAAACTGCACAGACACAGAAATTGCCCTAAACCTATCTCTTTGGAGTAAATCAACATTTTGGCTCGAAACTACACCGGTCATTGGTGTGTAAATTCCACACCTAGTAAGGTTGGCATTATAAGTTCCATCTTCCATAAACTGGCTGAGTTTACAAATCACATGAAGCCAGAACCAACTTAATTCACCTAGTAGACTAAGACATAAACCATGACTTATAAAATCACAATGGTGGGACTCAAATAATGTAAATCATATTATGAAATCTAGGAACTACAGAGCAGAGGTGGTATTCAGCAGGTTCTGACCAGTTCTGGAGAACTGGTACCAGAAATTTTGAGTAGTTCGGTGTACCGGCAAATACCACCTCTGACTGGCTCTGCCCTCATCTATTCTCTGCCTCCCAAGTCCCAGCTGATCGGCTGGGTCTTTTGTTGCCCTGCACAGGAGAACAGAGCTGGAAAGCAGGTGAGTAGGGTGGAGAGGGAATGGGATTTTGCAGTAACTTTCCCCTGGAGTGGGGTGGGAATTGAGATTTTACAATATCCTTCCCCTGCCACACCCACCAAGCCACACCCACCAAGCCACACCCACAGAACTGGTAGTAAAAAAAAAATTAATCCCACCACTGCTACGAAGTCAGAAGTTCTGTGGCCCTAAATCCAATTGCCTGCTCTATGCAAAAATCTAAATTAAAACACCACAACAAATATCTGAGCTCTGCTTGGACAGATCTAATGGACTACACTACTTTTTGTTAAACTGTTCAAATTTTCCTAACATTTTTCTATTCCCCTAATCGTGCTCATTGCAAAACATGTTCAATGTTTTATGAATCATTTGGTGTTTATTTGATTTTTTCTTAAAATGTGATGCTCAGAACTAGACATTAAATTGAAGTGGGTATGATAAATAAAGTGAAACTATGCTTTTGCTGATGTCCAAAATTGCATTTTACATTGTTGCAGCCCTTTCACAGTATTGATTGCTATTTTGTTTGCAATGAAATATTAATTCAGTGGTGGGCTTCAAATTTTTTTACTACCAGTTCTGTGGGCGTAGCTTGGTGGGCGTGGCAGGGGAAGGATATTGGAGAATCTCCAGTCAGAGGTGGTTTTTGCCAGTTCTCCAAACTACTCAAAATTTCCGCTACTGGTTCTCCAGAACTGGTCAGAACCTGCTGAATACCACCTCTGATTCAGGATCTTTTTCACAAGTAGTATTACCAAGCCATATACAGTATTTCCCATTCTGACCCTGTGCATTTGCTTTCTGCATGTAAAGTACAGCATTTTGTATTTGTTAAATTTCTTAGTATTGTGTTAGACCATCTGCCAAATATATTAAAATAATCTTGAATTGTATTTTTGTCTCCTGGGTTATAAACTACCCCACTCAATTATTATCTATACGACATACATTGCACTTGTCAGTAAATAGACATGTTCATGAAGAAATGGCACATTGCTAAGCCTAATCACTTGCCTAGCCACTGACTGCACCAGGAAAGAAAGAAGAGGAACGCTGCAAGAGAAAAGATGAGAAAGAAGGAAAAAAAAATCACTATCACCATTTGCTCTGAATGGTTATTTTATCTGTGAGAATTATTCTCAAAATGGCTAATACCTCTAAATTATGTGTGTGTGTCTGTGTCTGCATGCCTTTTTAGTATATTCTATATCTTAGTCTCTGTTCACAAAGACAAAGACAAAATTATGATTCAATGTAAATGAGTTTATACATTATGGTAATAAAATGGTGTCCATTGAGAGTGAGGGGAAGGATAAAAAAAGGCAAGATTTACAATGTTATGATGCACAGTCTACTCCTTTTTTTTAAGGTGACCAACTGTCCTCCTTTAGGGAGGACAATCCTCCATTTGTAAGTTTTGTCCTCCCTCAAAAAGTATCCTCCTACATGTCCTCCTTTCTGATATTTGAAGACTAATCTGTAAATCTCCATATTTGATCGATGCCGAGCAGATCCATTGTGTGTTATGACATATTTGTATTTGACATGACGATTCGTCAAGGCTTGGTACAGTGCAGCGAGACGCGATTATGAGATGCATGTGCTCCACACAGGAGAATTGTTTTGAGAGTGCGCCACGCACAAGTGACTTTGTTTTTTTTTTCTTCAATTTATTTGTGTGCTCCTTTTCATTGTAAAAAAGTTGGTCACCTTACTTTTTTACATGTGTCAACTTTAGTGTGGCTTCCATCACAACACATCTTCAATTTTGCTTTTTTCCCATATAAATTTATGTAAAGTTGATTTTCAAAAAATGTCACTTTTTAGCTGTGTTCACACAACATACAGAATAATCAATCATAAAAGAATGAGTTGCCCAACAAAATAGGCCAAATGTCAATTAATTTCAAGGAAGGATGAAGTCACAACTACTTTGCGCCAATACAGAGCCATAAAGTAGCCAGTTACATTTTATTGTTATGTAATGAAAATAATTTTTTCCCGTTCAATCAAAACCAGATCGAGATAAGTTAATCCAGAATAAGATGCCCAGGCAAACACAGTCACAGTGCGTTTGTGAACCAGGCAGATATGATTTAAGTGACGGTATCATTTAAAAAAAAAAAAAGTCGGCTAGCCTAAACTCCAATAAGACCCACGCAGGTCAATACATAGAAGGCAGTGTTCGCTCTTTGAAACAATCTTTCCTTATGCGCATGCTCCTTGTTGTCTTCCCACTCTTGCAGCAAGTTTGCGGAGTGCACAGAAAGAGCAATGTAGATCTAAGAAAATGAAGAATTACTCATCCAGTACGACTTCCTGTTTAAGATAGTACAACTTCCTGCTTAAGATGGTCGTTTATTATTTTCCTCTTTTTTAACGGAAGTGGGATCCGCTCTTAAGGCACGGGAAAAACAAACCATAAACTAGCAAAGAAAAATGGAAGAGTTGACCGCATTTCTAACTAGGGTTTTGTTTGGGGTGTTTGGGTTTCTTTAAAACGTTAGAAATATTTAACCATATTTAAACCTCGCAAGTAATAATACTCTTTGCGGAAGATACGTTTTGCTGCTGTTGCGCTTGTGGCTTTGGGCAACGTTCAACTATCGTTTTTTTCCTTGCTTATATGTCTTCTGAGACTAAAAATTCAAAACACAATAGCTAATCTTGCTGTGGTAAATAACTTTTTCACATAATGCGAGCTGGACCATTTGCTTTGTAATAACAACAAAATAAAATTCTGGATTAGCCCGAGCTTTTTCTATTACAGTCTTCCCCGGAGACAAAAAAGCGAGTTCAAAGGAACTTGGAAGTGAGCGCGCCATGCGCGTCTAAATTTTACACAACTACAGAATCCCTACCGAAGCTAATACGCACGCGTATTTCTGAGCCACCGGGCAATGTTTTTTGGGTGTTTTTTTTTTAAACCTATGGCGGCCGGGTAGAGCCGTTTTCCGTTCAATCTCGCGGTTTCTCTTTTGATGCTCTCGATTAAACCTCGGTCAGGATTAGAAGAGGGAACGTGACCGGGAAGTGGTTTTCAGGGTAACGGACCGCTGTGCTTGGCTGTGGCGCCACCCCGCACCCGCGGGCGTGGACAGGCAAGGGTAGGCCTCAGGGCCGCGTCAGCCCATATGAAGGTAGTCTTCCCTTGTTGTCAGCCTCTTCTGCCTTTCGTGGCTCCGCAGAAAAAAGTTCTCGGTTCCTTCTATTTCGTGGAGCATTGTCCACTCACCCGGCCTCTCTGGCCTAACGTGGTCTTTCTCTTAAGGACGGTCCTTGGGCGGTGGAGGCAGCTTCAGTGAACAGAGAGTCCCTCGTTTCTGCCCTAAAGTGAAATCGTCCCCCCCTCCAAAAAAACAAACCTGCGTTTTTCTGCCATGGTACCCGTTAAGCCCAACGACGGCAGCCCGGGTCTCTATAAGGCTATGGGAAATAAAGATGCCCAGCCCCCCGATCCCGAGGGCAACCCGCCCAACTCCTCTCTCATGAAAGCCCTGGACGCAGTTATAGCAGCGGGGAGACGTGGCTTGCTGGGTCCGGCGGCCATGGGAGCCCCTGAAAGTGTTCCCGCCGTGAACTTGGAGGGTTGCAACGGAGTAGCAGCTTCTGGGGGGAACTTGAACCCTATTCCGCTAGTGGCGAGAGTCGACAAAAGGAAGAAGGCGGTCAACGAGAAACGTACCGCTGTAATCACGGCGGTGCCCTCCGCAGCAGCAGGTGAGTTAAGTAAGGCTGGAACGCCGAGACCACCTTTCCAAGGAAATCTGGAAATGTTTGCTTTTCTCTTGAACGGAAACTTCTCTGTACTCCCTGCCATCATATGTGCAAAAACCTCTTGTTTGGCTTTATGCTTCTGCCAGAAAAATTTGCGCCAATGAGTGGGATAGACAAACTCTCCATCCATAGGTATACCCAATGTGACGGGACTGATCTTAGTCTTTTGAGAACCTTTGTCTCGTCCCGATAGCTATTGAAAAAGGTAAGGTAATGTGTAACTGAATTATGATAACCAGTGGAACAGCTTGCCTCTAGAAATCCAACACTGGATGCTTTTAAGAAGAGTCTAGAGACAGTCACTTATCTAAAATGGTATAGGTTTTCCTGCTTGAGCAGGGGGCTGGACTAGAAGACCTCCATGGTCCCTTCTAGCCCTGCCCATTCCCCCTCCC